TTTTCCTCAAAAATGTATAGCTGGTAATATTCTAAAAAATGTATTGCTAGTAATATTTTTTTTTTCAAAAACGTATTGCTGGCAATAGATTTATTCTTCAAACATTTATTTCTGGTAATACTTTTTTACAAATTATTTCTGGTATTAAAACATATTTTTACATATTCATAATGCATTTTACCTCAGTTTCGGGGTTAATTATTTACCCATAGCTGGGACCCTAACAGGTGCTACTACCCCAGGTCAGGATGGAGCTGGGATCCCCAGCAATTAAGGGATGGTTCCACGCTCCTCAAAACCTCCTGATCAGAGGCCATGCTGTCGGACGTAGATTATCGTCTTACCTATGACGCTGATGTAGTTTATCCTCATACCAATGACGGAAACGCAGTGTATCTGATGAAATTGGAAGTGTGTTATGTATCACGAGCGACATCGGCAAAAATAAAATCGAATTCAGTAAAATAATATTCTAAATCGGACTGATATAAGGTTGTAAAAGAAAAAAACGAACACCAGCAATGAAAAGGTGTTTCCACTTTCCTAAAAACCTCCTGATCAGAGGCCTTGCTGCTGGACGTAGTTTATCGTCATACCCAGGATGCGCATGTAGTTTATCGTCTTACCCAGGACACGGATGTAGTTTATCGTCTTGCCCAGGATGCGGATGTAGTTTATCGTCTTGCCCAGGACGCGGATGTAGTTTATCGTCTTACCCAGGACGCGGATGTAGTTTATCGTCTTGCCCAGGACGCGGATGTAGTTTATCGTCTTACCCAGGATGGTGAGAAGAAAAAGATCATTCAGGCCTTCAGTAATGGTACCAACATTCATGCTCTGGCTTCCATCTTCAAAGTTTATTCAAGAAACATCAAGGGAACAGTGAATAAGTTTAAAAAGAGGGAACGGTACAGACGAAAACTGGATCAGGAGGTCACAAGAGGACGAGGGATGCTCATTTCAATTTAGAGCTAAATATATTCTTATTGTTCAAAGTAGAATCTAATAGTGTTCAAAAAATAGTTACAAGTTACACAAATTAACTGAATTACAGTCCACCATTTGTGCCGAATAAATCGAACGCATTGATATTAATTGAACTAGTCTATACTAATGAATTTTGGATTTCTATATTATGTAATTTATATGGTCTGTTAAAATAAATAAATTGAGCTCTTTTTCTGAATCAATTTTAATATTTTATATTATTAAGATCCACTTGCATCATATACCAACGGACGACATGCAGAAAACTGATGTAATGTTGAACAGACGCCCCTACCTTAACCCGATTTTGAAAGTTGCTTAAATTTGATACAGAGTTTGTCGATGGGAACAAATATCCTACCACCCCTTATTAAATAATGATTAAATTTCCCCGTAACCTTGACAACTAATAATATCAAGACTGTACAGTGATCCCTCGCTAATTCGCGGTTCTACTATCGCGGATTCACGACTTCGCGTATTTTTAAAATATATATATGGAAAATATATCGCGGAGTTTCTGGAAAATTCTAGAAAAATCGCGATATATGAACACCGAAAATTTTTCATTAAATCCATTAAAATATTAATAATAAATATTATTTCC